CCATAAAACTTATATCCTTCAGAACCTTCCGGATAGCCAATGAATAACCACTGGTTGTCCTAGGATTAAGTTTTTTTTCATGTGGATTATGTATTTTTACTTCTGCTTGACACCTCCAAATATGAAGATGCTTCAAACTAGGCTTCCTACCCTTCCATGGTTCATAAGGTATTTTAGGAACTAATTTAAAAGAAACCCAATTTACCCAATATGCAGCAATCTTTAACACATGCATCCTCATAGAAAATGTTAATGTTGAATTACTGAACATACTCCTAACCATATCCTATTAAGTACGGTTTATCCTCTCAGCAAAACCATTATGTTGAGAAGTCTCAATTATAGTGTATTGCACACAAATATTTTAAATCTCAAGAATCTTTACAAATGGACTAGGATATTATCCTCTTTCATTGAACTTACAATAATATTCACCAATCTAGTGAGATCTCACAACTTTTATTTATTTATCTAACTACCTTTTCATCTCATCAATGTATATCTTTGGATAGTCCAATGATTGAGTCGTTTCATGTAGTAGATAAATATAACCATAACGTGAGAAATCATTTGTAATGGTGATTAAATACTTACATCACCCCATGAAAGGGTGTCGAATAGACCACAAAAATTAGTGTAAATAAGTTATAAGTTTTAGTGCTTCTCTTGTCAAATCTCTTTAATGTATGTCTAGTTTGTGTTTCTTTAATTCATCCTACACATACAACTTGATCACTAAAATCCAAATGAGATATGGTTTCATTATTCACCATTCTCAAAACTTTCTTCGGATATGTGACCATAATCTTTAATGCCATAAGAGAGCGGAATTTTTTTTATTATGTGCACTACGTTTAATTCCAATCATAAGTAGTTGCACATAACCAAGCCATCAAGTATTATTGGGAATCATTGATAAATCTGATTCACAACATACGAAAATTAATGTTTATCTTTCTTTTCGAATCAAGATTTTATTTTGAGCAATCTTTCTTGAGGTAGTCTAACTTTTTACAGAAATAACACCTCATTTCTTTAATGATTGGACCTACAAAACTTTAAGTAAGTCAATCTTCTTTTATTTGCCTTTGCTTCCCATTTTATCTTACTATTATTGGCACTCACATGAGATATAAAGTGAATTGTCTCTTCTTTCATCTAATTTATTCTCGCCTCTTCCTGCACCAGTATAGCCTTAATTTTTCTTATAGTTCCTTTTATCTTTAATGGTGTTATAATTCACCTAGGATTGGTCAAACTCAACAGGTAGGGAGTTCATGATGAATAAAACCATAAATGAGTCTACAACATTCATTCTCATGTTTATAAGTTTAGCTCATATATTGAACATGCTAGACACGATACCATAGATGGTACGGAATTAGAACCTTTATAGTGGTGAGTTCTATCATGAAACTTTCCACAATTTTAAATGGAGATAGTTCCTTGATTCTATTTAGGAATTCTTTTTCATTATCAGCCTTAATGTTATCCGCTGTGATTACTTTCATAAAATTCAAACACAACCTATTTGATCGCTCACATACCCTACGGAGAGTTACCTCTACTTCGGAGCTCTCATCAATAATGGTTGTGGGCACTTCATCAGTAATTAGAGTATCCAATTCAGTGCACCTAATTGAAAATATATATGCTCAGACCAATCATTGAAGTTCAGCCCATTGAATTTTTTTCAATAATAATACTTGACGGAAAAATTAAATTTAAACACTGCAAACTTTGATACATGCTATTTAATTAAGCTTTGAGAGAAAATTAATGGATTTAGAAATCTTTTAAATTATATATTTAAATATACCTTTGGGCAAATACTTAAATATATAATATACTTGATTGATGCCTAAGAGGAAAGATCTTTAACAGAAATTATAGGGTCTTGTGATTAATTAGTGGTTATCTTTGGACAAAACACACTAATTCACCTAACTTTAATTATAATTTCTCTTTCATATATTAATCCTTGATAGAGATTATACATACTTGAGTCAAATAGCGTCTATCTTTGGACAAACACACTAATTAACATCACTTTAAGTATAACTTCTCTTTTAAATATTAATCCTTAATAGAAATTATATAATTCTTGATCAATTAGTTGTTATCTTTGGACAAACGCACTAATTGACCTAACTCTAATTATAATTTCTGTTTTAGTTGTTACAAACTATAAACACATGGCCCACCTTTGGGTGTCCTACTAGTTTATAATTCATGACATCAATTATTCAAATATATAATTTGATAGACATTAATAAGACATCCTTTTATATTTGAATAATCGATACTTTCATCTAATTTAATTATCTATTCCATAAATTAAACTAGGCCACTTTGGTGACTAACTAGTTTTCTTTCATAGATAATATAATTAGTAAATATTTTTTTTAACTATACTTTATGAGATCATAAGACCATTATTGATCTCGCAATTAACTCAGAAGAAAGAGACCACTCACATATGTATTCTAAGTCGGGAATACGAGTTCAGCTTAAGGTCTAATCTCATCAAATTATCCTCTAATGTTTATAATATAAACACGCAGCATCACACATGTAATCATTAATCATGTAATCATGTAATCAAACAAAAACCATCTTCATATGATTTCGAAATTATCATAACTATGCGCAAGCAATTCATGATCAAAGATAATAGCTTTTCTAAATAATTCCAAGTATTCAATTTCTGGCCACACCTCATGAAATAATTCAAGAATCTAATTGATGTACAGAATACACTTGCGGCAATTTTAAAATAATCAGCAAATAATTCAAACATATGCTCTTAATTTCACATATATTTGCGCCAATAATACAACAGAATGAGTTTCATATTCACGGCAAGAGAATGAACAGCACGCATGACTTTTTTATCCCTTTAATCGGCAAAATAATTAAGCATAAACACATGCTCTGATACCACATGTAAGAAATTTAACGGGTATATCCATAACTTTTAGGCGGAATTGAATAAACCCTAAGCATGTAATTCTATCAATTCATAGAACATGGATCTTTGCATAAATTAAACTGCACATAGAAACTTACAAGAATCCAGCTATAGTCCTTCCCTGTTCATCTATGATGTTGATCTACGATCACCTTTCTCGTAATCTTCAATGATGGATTCGTCTCGTAATCTCCAACAATAGATTCGTCTTTGCCTATGAATTAATTGTTTCTCTCTCCCTCGTCTCTCGTCTTTCCATAAAGCCCTTGATGTTGAGAACTTTATTTCGTATGAGATAGGAGAGAGGGGCATGTAGTAATATATATAGGAGGAGACCTACAATTCTATTCCTACTAACATTCCTCATGTTCTAACCTAACTTACTGTCCAAGTCAAACATCACACATTGGACTCTTTAATATTAGAACATTAAATAATCTATTAAATACATATTCATCTTTAATAAAGTTTGAATATTAATTCAATTAGGTCTAACTAATTATATGGTCCACAATAATTGAATAATATATAAAATACTATTACATTTGATGCTAGATTGTAATGTAAAGATTGTTGTTAAGTGAAAGTTGCCAAACTCGATATTATTTTACTGTTCATGCTGTCCTGAAAGCATTTTTTTTTTTTTCGTTTGTTTCCCTTACAATTCTTATTTCTTGTGCTTCGTCTAAACTGGTTTCTTAATCAATGTACCGTGTAGTGTGACGATTGTCGTGGCTTATCTGATGTTTAAAAACGGGAAAAGCTTGTCTGAAGCTATGGGGTACGTGAAGTCGAAAAGAGCAGTGGCATCTCCAAATTACGGATTTATGTTACAGTTACAAGAATACGGAACCTCTCTTCAAGGTACTACTATATCACATTCTTTTTGAGAAAGAATTTTTAGTTGACTTTCAAGTTTGAAAAGAAAATGTTGGAATTGTTATTTCCGGAATTCTAGCAACAACCCTTTCTTCAGTGCCTGCTTTCCAACCTTATTATCAAGAATCTCATTGCTTTTCAGTTCTAATATCATATATTGTAATTGTTCATCTAATTACGATGATATCAAATATATATAATTAATTCAACATTTAAGTTATCAGGATCGTCACTTAGCCAAATAGCTCTCCAACATCTTTATCTCAAATTTATTAACTTGCATACATTTCAGCAGCCATAGTGGCAAATACTTAAATATTATCCACTGTAAAGAGTCTCACCACACAATTTTTATATAACACCCCCAATCTTAAGCTTTAAAGGTACCTTCACAACACCACCTGAGAGTGTTTGGTCCTCTTATTTTTTTCAGCACCTTCTTACTAAAAACCTAAGCATCTGTTTATGAACAATATAGGAATGAATATTTAGGATACCTGTATTTTATTGCTTGGACCAAAAACACACTTTAGACAATTGCTCGACATTCTGTACAGATGGATATGTCACGGCCTTCTTGATAATGTGATATTATTTAAGTTGTTTGAAAAGGTTAACAAAAATAAAATATATAGATGTTGCTTGAGAGGAACTTCATCTCAGAAGCGTGAGAATGGCATTCGAGCCATAGATCATTGAAAGTATACTTGACTATCTCCTGTTTGAGAACCTAACGTAGTTGAGGCAGTTCATTTCATCCTCCTGCGCCAAAAACAAAAACGTCAGAAATTTTTATAAACTACATAAATACTAACCAAGGATGAAAAAGGTTTCGCAATGTCCAGTCAAATTCTGTAAGAGATACATTTGTCCCGACAAAAATAAATCAAAGTACCTAAGCAAGATATCTCCACACTCGAGCAGCTAACCTAAATAAAACTCACATCAAACTAAATATATTTCGTTTGAGCATCCAAATTTTGAACATTCTCACAAGGACAAGCATCAACTCATAAAACAGTTTCAGATCAATTTACTATTACACTGTAATAAAAAAGGTTTGATAATGCTATCACAGAAAAGCTCACCGCGCGAAACAAAATTGAAATAGGGTCGAAGGATGGAACATTGGATCTAAAAAGTTTCACACCTTTCTTCTGGCTCTAGCACATTGCTCGTCACCTCCCTCACCCTCAGCGGCTGGTCGCACACGTCCTCCATCGCTGGGCAGTCGTCCGAACCAGTCGGTGCACGTATTCTTGTTGACTCAGGAGGCTCATCCACGTCTGCAAGTTGCTGACCTCGAACCTGGGCCGCTCCCCGGGCGCATTGGTCGAAGCGTCGGAGTATATGGTGGGAAGCCAGAAATGTAGAAACGTAATCTTCAGACCAAAGGCCACCCAAACTTACAATTCTATCACCTCCGACCCGAGCGGTTGGGTCTGAAGTGACTTGAGTTATTGAACATAAAAAATTTTATTTTTGACAAAGAAAAGCTGATGTATGAATATAAAGATCACCTTGACAATGAATCTTTTTACATGGACAGTCCTCTTCTGTCCAATCCGGTGAATTCTCATTATTGCTTGCTCCTCTACTGCAGGATTCCACCATGGATCATGTGTGCATATAAGATAAATTAGATGAGTATAGCAGTGGTTCTTCTCTGATACCTACAACAAAAAAGTACAACCCGCCTCGATTAAAATCTTGATTTGAAAAACTGAGGTTAGTTATATATCTATATAAACATATTCTTACACGTAGGATAGCGAGTGAACGAACTCCTGCACATCATCTGCAGAGCCAATCTCATCATACAGAACCTGATAATGAGTCGATCGAGTGGTCCCCTGTATGAAAAATCACATCATTCATTTAACACATTCGATTATAAATTTATAATACTCAAACCCAGAAAGCATTTGTGAAATTTTTCCATGCAAGAAATGAAAGTTATTCAAGAGATTCTCAGTGATTAATAGTCCCTAGAAGTTATATGTAATCAAGTGGTGAGGATTAATAATCAGTTACTAATTCCAATGGAGTTGATTGATTGTGCATTGATGAGACAGAATTGTAAACCTGCTGGAACATTATTTGGGCTGTTCGACTTGAAGAACTTCGTGTGATGGTTCTTTTGTGCCACGACCACCATAAATTTGGGAGCCCATTTCTCATCCAGAAACTTGCAAGCCTGCACGAAAATACACACAATTTCGATTAACAACCAACCAAAGAACACGACTGTGATCACAAACAAACGATTTTAAGGTTTCATAAAAAAGAACCTCGATCATCTGCTCGAGTTCGATGTTGAGAACTTGGTTGAACTGAGACTCACTCACCCCATCCCTATAAAAAGCACAAATTATTGAACTTACGCAACAACTTAGTGAAGGAGATTAATCTAGTTAAAATGTAGTTTGTTTAATGTAAGTTCTTCAAGTAAAAGTACCGAAAGATAATAATTTGCTTCGGTTTCTTGCGTGAACTTCTGTATAAATCCATCAATGCCTCCCTGAAAAATATAGTTCGAATTATAAGCCATACAATACAGTAAACAGCTGAATAAGCAAGTGGCATAATATTTTTGCACGGCTTGAACATGCAATTTACCTGAAAATGCCTTTGTCCTCAGTATCAGACACTTTCTTCAAAAGGGAATCGACCATCTCCGTCTTTGGTGACTGAGTACGAACTGCTGCTCGGTATTTAGATATGAGTGGCCAATGCCTTGAACTAACCACCTAATAATAATACATTTCAAACCGGCAAAAAAAGAGGACATTTTTTTAGATTGGTTTACATTAGGAAAAAAAAAATGATGGGCTGATGAGCATCAGATTTAAAGAAAATGGCATACAACAAAAAATAAATACTCATCTAATTAGATGGCCATCAGGATTCCACCATGCATTCAAGCCATAAGAATCATATAAAATAAAAAATTTATTTCTTAATTGAAAAAGAATAGTAAACATAAAATTGCTTCTTTCCAATCAATGCAATATTTCAAACGTTCTACTTCTATAATACATACTTTCAATATAAAATGGATTAAACAAATAGTTAGCAAAACTCTACTGTGAGTTGTACTTATACATACCATTAGAAAGACATTAGAAGCCGCAGTCAGATTCATGCTCACACCACTAGTTTTCAGGTAAATCAACAGTACCTAAACCACCAATAGAAAATCATTATCACCATTAACAAAGCAAAGATTGAATTAGCAATTTTTCATTGTTCCTTATAACTTCTTTTACATGTAGTCTTGTTTTTGGTGTCGACAAACTAATGCAACACCTTCTCCCTCTTTTCTTTCTAAGTTCCCCAACAAACCTCTGGAACTCAAATCCTCTCTTTCTGAAAGGTTCTCCAAAAGATCAAAAAAGGAAGTCTACTAACTGAACACAATGCTTATGTCACCACCCGATTTAAGTACATTCTCCACACAATCCAAAAGGCTCAGTATTTTTTAGAACTCCTTCCAGTTAACCTTGACATCTACTCTGAAACGGGTACCAATCAGACATGTGATCAGCTCTGCCTTTCATTCGAGATATTAACATAAACACACCAATGGACCTAGACACGGAAAATGGTAAAGAATAACCCAACAATTTAATGCACAGCCTTGAGCATGACAATAAAGAAAGTATGAAATTTCTAAAATGTTAATCAATTACAGATATATAAACAATCTACAGAGAACTCTAGAATTTGGGGGGTTTTTTATGGATAAAAAACAACACTTTAAACTGAAGATCGAACATATGTAAACTGATGAATTAGCAAAATAATTACGGACGCATACAGGAAAAAAGGACACAAAATCTGAGACAAACTCATCCTAACGACAGTAAAAATTAGAGCTGCACACAAAAGAATCAGATAGGTACACATACCTAGGAACACTGATAAGTATTAGACGGGGCAACACGAGACAATCCACCTCGGCTAATTCTCCGACGGAGTTCGAAATTTTGATAAAAAATTGTTGCTTTATTTGATCCATCTTACCTCGCAAGCAACACAGTTGACTTACTGTTCCACATGAAAAACAAACAAATAAATAAACAAATCGAAGTGCAATATGGTAACATTCAAATCAAACTTAGTGGTCCGATTTCAAGGTGCTTTCATTTTCTTTCATTATAAATGACGTTAGAAGAAATAAAGATTATAGGTGGAGAAACAAACCCTACGTGCTGGAGGCATTCTCCACTTCCTTCATTGATGGAGCCTCCGAGGTGACGTGGTGGGGTTTCCTAAGAAGAAATAAATTTTTACCCTGTTAAGAAAACTTGTTGAGCTATAAAAACAGATAAAAAAATTAAATTGAAAAGAAAATCCACATGCACCTAATCTTTGATGCCGCCCCGTCAATTGGAGTCGCGGGCTGCCACTCCGGGTAGTCTCGCTGCCGCCATCCATCCAAAAGCTACCGGATGCCGCCGGTCACAAGCACCGTTCGCCGCCCTTCTTCTCGACGGGTGTGAACTCGTCTATCTCTAATGTATAATTTCTCGCCGACCTTCCTCTCGACAGGGAATCCCTATCTTCATTTCTTTTTTCACGTCATCCCGACACGCTGTTGGAGACCCTGACTGAGCGCCTGAAGTTCGCGTGGGAGCATGACTCGCTGAAGGCCCTGAAGCTCGTCTGCGACCTCCGTGTGTTGTGGAGCACCGGGAAAGAGCACCGGGAAATCAGATAGAGAAGACGGGTACACGGCGGCGCTCTGGCTGCACGCGAACACCCCAAAACCCTAACACGCAACATTGATTTTCGATAACTTCAAGGACTGCTCCAGATTCTCTTCCGTCATCGTTTAAGTGTCTGCCTCTGTAATGGAATTTCGGAGAAATCAAAAAAATCATTGGCTTTAGATTCGTCTCCATGGTGGAATTTCAGAGAGGTGAGAAGAAGAGAGAAGACAATAGTCTGCTTTCACAAAAAATAGTATGGGCATTTCGAGGTTTGGTAGTGAAGAGGGAAAGACAGTAGTACTACCGTGTGCCCTCGCACAACTAGCTAGGTGTGCCAGGGCACATTTTGCACGCGCCCCTCACCCCCAAAACTAGAAAAGTAAGAGAGTGTAGTGCACATTTCTATTTTTCTTTTTTTTAATTCAAAAATGAGACATATTACATAAATTAAAATATCATTAATTATTTATATAAAAGAATAAAATAAAAATATCAAAATTCATAATTTTTCATTATCTATAAATAGAGACCACATTTGATAGGTTTTTTAACACAACTAATTTTTTGTTTTTTCGTAATTATTTTATTATACTGACATATAATGAACATGTTACATAATAAGATGAATATGTTTTCAAATGAGATGAACATGTTACAGATTGCAGATTGAAAATAATACATATTCATCTTATTTTATAACATGTTCATTTTATTATGTAACATGTTCATCTTGTTCTATAACATGTTCATTTTATATTCATCTTATTCTATAACATGTTCATTTTATTTTATTATGTAACATGTTCATCTTATTCTATAACATGTTTATTTTATTATGTATGTAATGTGTTCAACTTATTCTATAACATGTTCATTTTATTATGTAACATGTTCATTTTATTCTATAACATGTTCATTTTAATGCGTAACATTTTCATCTTATTTTAGAATATGTTCATCTAAATTTCATATGTGAAAATGTAACATTTTCATCTTATTCTATGACATGTTCATCTTACTCTATAACATGTTCATCTTACTATGTAACTTATTTATCTAATTATAGATTTGTGTCATAATCTTCCAATAAGATAAATTAATTGTAAAAAATGATAAATTAATTGTGTTCCAAAAAATATTAAATGTGGTCTCTATTTGTAGAGAATGAAAAATTATGAATTTTGGTATTTTTATTTTTATTTTTTGATACAAAATATGAATGATAATTTAATTTATATAATATGATAAATGAAATTCACTACCCAATAAAAATGGGACACATGTCCCATTTTAAAAAAAAAAACACTTACCTCCTTACCTCTCACGCGCCTTTAGAGAGGATGTAATTCACATAAGGCCCTGGCACACCTAGCAAGGTGTGCCAGGGCACACCTAAGTATTTGCCGAGGGAAAGAGATACTCTACAACTTCACCTTCACCTGCTCTTGTCAGATCCCAAACTTGCGTGTGCGGGAATTCAGTATAGGAGAAAGAAAATGTCGACATCCAAACAGTACAACAGTAGAAGGTATTGTCGATTTAAATGCATCTCGTGAAGGCACCAAAACGGTGCCATTTTGGCTCAATGAAGGAAAAAAAATAGTCGCTGCCACGTGTCGACCACCGGAAGGGTCGAAAAAGGACATGTGTCGCCACTACAATCGCCATAACTCTTTTGTATATATATAAGAGAGATATACTTTTATGTTTTTGTTTTATGGATTTGTTGTGTATATGTATGGTTTATTTTT